TAACTTAGAAGCAAGGCATATAGTAAGTAGGGGAAGAAGGGTGACCCAGGAAACATCTCGAGGTTTATCAGGAGAACCTGCATCCTTGTGTTTCCTTTGAACACTTATTTTATTGTGGAAACTTAAAAAATCGTATTTACTGAGAATAAGTTTAAAAAATACAAAACTTATCTTGATCTTTCTAGCTGTTGCTATGGTTTTGAGTAATACATCATTAAAGCCATGGCACTCCAATGATGTATTAAAGTAATATATCATAACAATGCCACGGCTTTGATGATATATTAATGTAATACATCGTTAAGGCGCCATTGGCCCCATGATGTATTACTCAAAACACTACCAATTGGTTAGATCAACACACAGGGACCTGTGTGTTGGGGACAGGAGAATGGCAAATGATTTTGGACCAAAACACAATTGAACTTCTCAGAGATGTCTCACCTACAAAAGCAGTTCTGTAAGATTGGATAGGCTTCAAAGGCTCACTCGAGAGTGGTGGGGTTGAATTGCAAGTGAAGGGCAACAAAGACATCTGCTCTGACTACATAAGAAACCTGTGCCTGGGGCCAAGTTTTCACGTGGGGCAAGAGGAACATGCCTATGTTTTGCCTAGCAACAAGCCGTGTGCTTTAGTTGCATAATCTCATTTCATCCCCACCGAAATGCTATAAGATATTATTAACTTGATTTTAGAGATCAGGAAACTGAGGTTAGAGAAGTAAAGTGAGGTCACATAGCTGGTGGGTGGTTGGGCCAGGATATCTGCCTAACTCTAGGGCTGAGTTGGGTGGGTTCTTTCTCATTTTGTGCCCTCAGTTTAAGGCAGTTATTTTTTTTTTTCTATTTCTAAAGGTAAATTGGAGAATGAGCTCTCTTCCCTTCTTCCCCTTTCACCATCCTCACCTCCTCACCTCCCTCCCACCCCCCACCAGTGTATACAATTTCAAGAGAAGGCATTTGGAAAGCAGATCTGGAAAGCTTGGGCAATGCTAGATATGCATTTGGCAGCTATCTTTATTCTCAAGGTCCTGCCAAATGTCTGATCCATGGTTGAGGGAGGAATGGCCCCTGGGAGGGCGGTGCCAGTGACCGAAAGCTTGACCGTGCCCCTTCGTTCCTCTCAACAGCTTCCTCCCAGCTTCCAGGCTTCCACTCTTGCTCCTACTACAGATCCGTCCTTTACACAGTAGCCAGAGCGATCATTTAAAAACGCAATCCTATCATGTCACCATTTTCCTTAGCTCTCTTCAGAGTCTTTCCACTACTCCTAGAATAAAATCTGACCTCATGACGCTGGTCCCCAAAGCCCTGACTCTTGTGGGGCTGCACTGATTTCTCTCCTTGAATGGGGTTGGTGCTACCTTAGAGTTTGGCATGAATTGATGACCTTAACTAGCTTCTGGTTGCTGCTTCTTCCTTGTCAGATGCCACTTTAGATGCTATCTTCTCAGAGACCCTGTCCCAGATCGCTTGGTCACCCTTTACCACATTTCCCTGCTGTTCATGTCTTATCAAACCCCAATGTTTGATTGTTTACTTATCTGTTTATTGTCTCCCTCCTAGAGACCCCCAGTGGAGAAAGTCTGGACCTTGTCTCTTGTGTTCCTGGCTGTATCCCCAGAGCTTCGGACAGAGCTTGGCACACAAGTAGTGTTCAATAACAATGACTAAAACCAAAGACTGTATGATTATTGATTGACTGACCAATAGTGAAGGCAACTATTGGGTGAGAAAGTTCAAAGATGAGTTTGCTTGCAGTGGGCAATTTTGTGAGTAGTAAGGAGTCCAGGGTGGGGATGGCTCAGGGTCTTCTAGATTTTTTCTTTTCTTTGAGACGATAAGGAACTGTTTAAATAATAAGAGCATATATGCTCTTCTTGTGTTCTCACCACCTCTGCCCATCATTCTCAGCACATATTTTATCTTTTAAGGAAAATAATGCAATTGAATTTCGGCCTGCCTGATTCTAAATCCCCTGTATTCAGGTGGGTGATTGCTCAGGTAGAGGTGATGTAAGGAAAAACCGACAGCAGAGAGCAAGGGCCACTCTGCCAGTGAGGGAAAGAGCAGTGGGTTCAAGAGAAGGTATGTAGAGACTCCAGGGAAGCATGCCTTTGAACTATTGTAGCACTTTTTCAATAACCTGAATACGAAATCAAGACACAATTGCCAACAGTTCTTCCTTGCAGTCCGCCACAGACAGCATTTCATCATTACCCTTGGTTGCAAAGTTTTTCCAGCAATTATTGGTAATATACGACCAGAGTCCACGGGGTTGCCAACAAGGCCAAGTCTGGCCTTGCATAAATGTCATGGCACAATAGGAACAGCTAGGTGAGGTAAGCCAGTGGTATTTTTCTTTCGGGTTTTCCAATTCCTTCCTTGTGCACCTGCCTTTGAATGTATTCAGACCAAAAAGTCTAACACTGAACCACAACGCCTGCAGCTTCTGTGGTCCCCAGGAGCCCTGCAAGTCTTGACAGCCAGACACAGTCAGGGGCGTTGCTATAAGCCGTAGTTGCTACGGGTCACAGCAGCCTGTCACTCTGCGGGTGAAGTGATGGGAGGAGTGTTCAGAACTCACAGATGCCTCTTTGCCATTCTCTTTGATCTATGCACACTGCCTGCAAGATGCCTCGTCGTCACTGTCACTTTCTGTTTCAGGCCTTGTTGATGGGTCTGAGTCTGCGGTAGGTGGGGGCAAAGGAGAGCGGGGTCTCCTTAGGGTGGGCCCCAGGCAGAGCCCCCAAATTTCCCAAGACTTATGAGTGCTTGGAGGATTGGGGCTGGCAGAAGAAGTGCAGAGTGAGAGAGGGAATAGCTAGCGCAGGGCGCCCCGACCACGCTGATTCTGGTCTCCATGAACTAATGTGGTGGGCAGCATGTCACCGAGCTCCTGGCCACAAAGCCAGGCGTGTGATCTGACACCTGTAAGGAGACAAATGTGGACATCTTCCACATTGTGCACCTGCTTTTGAATGGTTAGAAAAGTCTAACCAAAAGTTAGACTGTTTGGTCTGATATTTCCTCCTCCAGCTGCGTTTCCGGCATGGCTATGTTTGCCAATGGGTTAGAAATTCACATTGAGTGATGGATATACTGAATATGCTGTTTCAGATGTGATGGGAGTGATGTGCACCTAGTTACAGAATTTCCATGTCTTGTACAGCAGACTCCTTTCTCGTAAGAGAAGGGTTCGTGAGTGGTGACCACCAAAATGTATACTTGGAACCACATTTGCCGCATGTCTAAAAAAAAGATGTTAGGGGCACTTGGGTAGCTCAGTTGGTCAAGCATCTAACTTCGGCTCAGGTCATGATCTCGCGGTTCATGAGTTTGAACCCCAAATCGGGGTCTGTGCTGACAGCTCAGAGCCTGGAGCTCTGTGTCTCCCTCTCTCTTTGCCCCTCTCTTGCTCGTGCTCTGTCTCTGTCTCTCTCTCAAGAATAAATAAAACATTTAAAAAAATAAGTAAATAATTAAAAAAAGATGTTGAACAGCTCTTAGAACTAAGGGGGAAAAAAAAGAAACCTTGGGACGACAAGCCATTTTTACCTATTTAAGTTTCTGAAAATTACTGCTGACGCCATTTAAGAATTTCTTAACAATTTTTTAAAATGAAGAACATGAGAAACGAAAGGAAAAAAATAAATGGGACTGATCACTTAGAAGATTTCTTTCATCCTTAGAATGGTTGCCCTATTCTAGTAAATATAAAAAAATCAAGTGTTAGAATAACAGATTTTAGTAAGACTAAATTGATAGAGCTCAAATCAGCGCAAGGAAGAATGGAATTTCTCAGCACATGGAAAGTCTAAGATAACAGAAAAGTAATTGAAAAGGCTTCTGAATGGTTGGCCCAGGTGCTCGATGCCCACGGGAACTTGTCTCTCATCATGTAAGTTCTGATTTCCTCTGTTTTTGTTTCCTTTTCAGGCAAATCCCTACCCAGGTGGTGGCAGCAATGGCCACAGCAGTTATAGACATTTGTTCCAGTATCTCTGCACTCAGACAGGGAAGGGGCACCTCTCCAGGAAATCTACCAGAAGTTCTGGGAGCTGCTGCCATTGCCCATCCTTGGCCCACTGAAGCAATCATGACAGTTCTGTGTGCTTTCGCCAGGCCAAGGTCAATGCCCACACTTGGAACTGGAGAAGAAGATTCGGTTCCCCAACGTGAAACCTGTGAACTGAGGGGTGGAGGAGAGTGGTACCCCCTCTGCACCCTGCCAAATTAAGTCCTGTTACTGACAGAAGGGGGGAAGGGATACTGGGCAGGCAAAAACAATTGTGCACCAGAGTCCTTGTGTCCAGAAAGTCCTGTAATCTCTACACCTGCAGTCAAGGTCCAGATGGGACACTGGGCACCATTCCCCAGCCATCAGGCTACACATACTGTCCTGTGACATTCCTTCCCCATAGTTTCTCAAGGCTGTTTCTTATTTTAGGTAGTTTTTTTTTTTTTAATGTTTATTTGTTTTAAGAGAGAGAAAAATGGAATACATGCACACAAGTGGGGATGGGACAGAGGGAGAGAGAGAATTACAAGCAGCCTCTATGCTGTCAGCACAGAGCCTCATGTGGGCCTTGATCTCACAAACCGTGAGATCATGATCTGAGCCAGAATCAAGAGTCGGTGGTTTAACCAACTGAGCCACCCTGGCAACCAGGTTTGTTTGTTTTTTAATTATAAATGTAAATTATCATGGTAAAAAAAATTTTAATAATAATATTATAAAATGGAAGGAAATACCTGTCCCTCACCCACTAACCACCTATCACTAGTCCCTAAGGTGATCAAAATTGTATAGCATTCTAGAAAATTTCTCTATTATACAGATACCTAATTTTCCTTTTCTTTATCTTTATTTTGTTGTTTATTTATTTATTTTAGGAGGCGAGGGAGGGGCAGAAATAGAGGGAGAGAGAGAATCCCAAGCAGGCTCTGCACTGTCAGGGCAGAGCTCTAAGCAGAGCTCAAACCCATGAACCGTGACATCATGACCTGAGCCAAAATGAAGAGTCAGACACTTAACATACTGAGCCACCCAGGCACCCCTTCTTTTCTTTATTTTTAAAGAATTGATATATTACGCATATTGTCCCCCAACTTTTTTACTTAATAATATTCTTAGCATCTTTCCATTTCAGCACAGACATTTTTTTAGCAGCTGCATAATAGCCCATAAAATGGATGCACTATGATTTATTTAACCATTTTCCTGCTAATGGACATTTATGTTACATTCATGGCTGTATTTCGGCTTTGTCATGAACATTCCTGAGCACATAGTTTAGTATACTTTTGCGAGTACATCTGTAAGCTAAATTCTTAGAAGTGAAATTGTTTGCTCAACGAGTATATGCACGTAACTTTGGATGGATACTGACGAAGTGACCTCTGGGAAGGCTGTACCAATTTACATTCATATCAACAGCACCGAGAATGCCAGTTTCTCGGACACTTGGTCACCAATGGTTATTGAGACATTACATCTTGGCTCATCTGACAAATGAAAATGGTATGCCATTGTTTTTATTTGCATCTTAAAATTAAAATTGACACTGAACATCTTTTAATATTTAGCCATTTCTATTTAATTTCTGTGAATTTAAAATCTGTTCTTTCTACACACATGAAAATATGAGTAGTTAGATTACTTCATGCTGTATTTTCCCATTTTGCGCAGCTAACATTGGTCCTGTAATATGATACAAGTAGATTTATTATTCATTGAATCCCAGAATGTTAGAGCTGACAAAACTCTTGAGATCACTCCATGATACGTTCTCATTTACAGATGGAGAAACTGACTTCTAGGGAAGCAAAATTAATGGTCCAAGATTGGAGGGCAGGTCAGCACCAGAACACATGCTGTCTGAGGTATTACTTAGGGTTTGTATTCTGCTGTGTACTATATCAAGAGGTCGATCATAGAGATTTAAACCACTCATTGTAATCTATTAATATCCTGAAGAGTTTCTTATGACTGTAACCACCAACCCAATGAGCCAGCATCTCCATCCAATTTTTCACTTAATGGTGTATTTTGCCACCGTTCAGCAATCCGGAGACTGGCTCTCTGTGCATTGTGCTAAACCTGTTTAAGCGCAGCAGTAAAACTTTCTGCATGTCAGTGGCCAGCTCACGGAATGGGAGCTCCTTATGCTCAGTCAAAGCCAACTCAAGATAAATCGAGTGAGAAAAATCAATAGTCTCACTGCCATTTCTTACAGTTTTCATGAATTGTTTAACATAATGAAATAGTCACAGGAACAAAACATTCTAACACTCCCTGATGTGTTCTTCTCATTGTAGAGCTATCCCAAATTCTTCATAAAATTATACCCACTTAATTTCCATCTTGGATTTAGAAATTCATTTTTTTTTGTATCCCTCATGAGACTTTTAAATAATGACCAAAAGCTGAGTTTATCATTAGGAGAATTTTAAGAAGAAATTTGTTCTGTCACAGACTTTAACCCAAGGCACCCTAAGGACATGGGTCCCAGCCTTCACTGTTCCCACTATACCACCGTAGGGTTTTTCCCAGGCTGAAGAAATAAAAATTTTGATTATCCTTATAATTTAGATACATCTTGGTCTTCTCTTCTTAAACTAAATTTAAAAAAATGTAAAGAACCTATAATCTATCAGCTATGAAGTTATTGCTATAATTTTCAAATTGATGGAAAAGACATGATCTTGAAGAAAAGAATGGAACAAGACAAAAACAACAGGCAATTTGATACTTAAGCTACATATTACCAAGTCATCCTTATCAGGAAGCAAAAAAAGTGAGGTTTTAATATAGAAAAAAGAAATAAAATATGTGTGCACTTTAAATAGTGTAATTAATAGAAAATGCTTCAGTATGTGGTCTCACTTTTTTTTTCCAGTCAAATGTGTGCAGCTTAACCACAGTTTGGCTGGGAATCTGTGGTGAGGGGCCTACGTGCACTATTTCTGTTTTTGAGAGAGTTGTTTTATTTTTTATCCCTTTTTCATTTCCAGGTTATGTTCAGTTAATTATTGAAATGCTGAACATTCTGTCCTAATACTTGAGATTGCTTGACTTGTGTGGGGCAAAGGGAAGCATAATGGATACAAGGGAAATTCTCCCAGTCCTGTTTTATTGACCTTCTCTCCAAGTACATTCATAAGAAATTGTGCTAAATAAATTGAAGTGTGCCTTTGGTTTCAGCTAAATGCATTTTGGAGCTAGCTTTTTAAATACTAATAAAAAGAGTCTGGCTTTCAGAAGTTAACTTTCTATGAAAATAATGGCAAATACGGGATATTTTTGAACACATATGCGAGAGAGCTGATTTCTCATGAAAAAGCTAAGGCTGATGCTGGATGAAGCAAGGGGGTCAGGCACCACTATCCAGGGGTTCTTCTTATGGATAGAACAACAAAGATTCAAGAATTGACCGGGGAGCTGTGGCAATGAAGAGTGGTTCCAACTACTAAAATATTTAAGAAAAAGTTGAAGAAATACTCCTTTTAGTTGCCCCCCCCCTCCAAACAAACATGGGATGCTGACAACTGAAACCTATCACTGATTGAAGACAATGGGGATACTCAAAATAGTGGTAGCTTTGAACACTAAACCATGAATAGGGGGAAAGCCAGAAGGGAATTATTTACTGTCAGGTAAGTCAAGGCAAGTGAGGGGTCAGGTAGGACTGCCAGGGGAAACTCACTAAGGGAAATGTGTGTTCTTCTTGCTGTTGTAAGCTTTCTTTTCTTTTTTAAAGACAGAGGTACAGGGGAAGAGTACTATTATTTAGGGGGAATTGTATACAAGTTTGTTCTTAAATTTTTTTTTTTTTGATCAATAATTATCCACTTAAAAAGTATACTGTTGTCAAATTAAAAAACAGTGTGCTAACAGTGTGTTGCACATGGTGATGGTGAAATCAACCAGGCTGAGACCGACTATGGGTTGCATCACAGTGGCCCCAACTGGCAAGGTGTGGACTGGTGGGGACAGTTAAGGATGGATCAAAAGTGACAGTCAAGGGATGCTTGGTGGCTTAGTCGGTTAAACATCTGACTCTTGATTTTTGGCTCAGGTCATGATTCCATGGTTTGTGAGGTGAATCCCTGCACTATCAGTGCAGAGCCTGCTTGGGGTTCTGTCTCTCTCTCTACCCCTCCCCTGCTTGTGTTTGCTCTCTTTCTTTCTAAAAAAAAATAAACTTAAAAAAGAAGTGACAGCCAAAAGTGATTTTTGCATTGAGAAAGCATTTGGCAAAATACAGCATCCTTTCTTGGTAAAAACACTTAAGAAAGTAGGGATAGAAGGATCATACCTCGAGTTCATAAAAGCCATATATGAACCACCCAACGCTCATATCATCCTCAATGGGGAAAAACAGAGCTTTCCCCCTAAGGTCAGGAACAAGACAGGGATGTCCACTCTCGCCACTGTTATTCAACATAGTATTGGAAGTCTTACCCTCAGCAATCAGACAACACAAAGAAATAAAAGACATCCAAATTGTCCAGGAGGAGGTCAAACTTTCACTCTTCACAGATGACATGATACTCTATATGTAAAACCCAAAAGTTTCCACCAAAAAACTGCTAAAACTGATCCATGAATTCAGCAAAGTTGCAGCATGTAAAATCAGTGCACAGAAATCGGTTGTATTCCTATACACCAACAATGAAGTGACAGAAAGAGAAATCGAGGAATTGATCCCATTTACAATTGCACCAAAACCCATGAAATACCTAGGAATAAATCTAACCAAAGAGGTGAAAAATCTATACACTGAAAACCATAGAAAGCTTATGAAAGAAACTGAAGAAGACACAAAAAAATGGAAAGATTCCATGCTCCTGGATGGGAAGAACAAATATTGTTAAAATGTCAATACTACCCAAAGCAATCTACATATTCATTTCAATCCCTATCAAAATAACACCAACATTCTTCACAGAGCTAGAAAAAACAATCCTAAAATTTGTATGGAACCAGAAAAGACCCCAAATAGTCAAAGAAATCTTGAAAAAGAAAACCAAAGCAGGAGGCATCACAATCCCAGACTTCAAGCTGGATTACAAAGCTGTAATCATCAAGACAGTATGGTACTGGCACAAAAACAAACACTCAGATCAATGGAACAGAATAGAGAACCCAGAAATGGACCCACAAATGTATGACCAACTAATCTTTGACAAAGCAGGAAAGAATATCCACTGGAATCAAGACAGTCTCTTCGGCAAGTGGCGCTGGGAAAACTGGACAGAGACATGCAGAAGAATGAACCTGGACCACTTTCTCACACCATACACAAAAATAAACTCAAAATGGATAAAGACCTAAATGTAAGACAGAAAGTCATCAAAATCCTCAAGGAGAAAGCAGGCAAAAACCTCTTTGACCTTGCCCGCAGCAACTTCTTACTCAACACATCTGTGGAGGCAAGGGAAACAAAAGCAAAAATGAACCATTGGGGCCTCATCAAAATAAAAACTTTCTGCACAGTGAAGGAAATACTAAGAAAAATTAAAAGGCAAACGATGGAATGGGAGAAGATGTTTGCAAATGGCATATCAGATAAAGGGTTAGTATCCAAAATCTATAAAGAACTTATCAAATTCAACATCCAAAACCAAATAATCCAGTGAAGAAATAGGCAAAAGACATGAATAGACACTTCTCCAAAGACGATATCCAGATGGCCAATCAACACATGAAAAAATGCTTAACATCACTCATCATCAAGGAAATACAAATCAAAAAGACATTGAGGTACCACCTCACGTCTGTCAGACTGGCTAACATTAACAACTCAGGCAACAACAGATGTTGACGAGGATGTGGAGAAAGAGGATCTCTTTTACTGCTGGTGAGAATGCAAACTGGTGCAGCCACTGTGGAAAACAGTATGGAGCTTCCTCAAAAAATTAAAAATGGAGCTAACCCCACAACCCAGCAATTGCACTACTAGGTATTTATCCAAGGGATACAGGTGTGCTGTTTTGAAGGGACACATGCACTCTAATGCTTATAACAGCACTATAAACAATAGCCAAAGTATGGAAAGAGCCCAGATTTCCATCGATGGATGAATGGATAAAGAAGATGTGGTATATATATACAATGGAGTATTACTCGGCCATCAAAAAGAATGAAATCTTGCCAAGGAGGGGGACAAAACACAAGAGACTCTTAAATATGGAGAACAGAGGGTTACTGGAGGGGTTGTGGGAGGGGGGATGGGCTAAGTGGGTAAGGGGCATTAAGGAATCTACTCCTGAAATCATTGTTGTACTATATGCTAACTAACTTGGATGTAAATTAAAAAAATAAATAACATCTTTTAAAAAAGTGATTTTGCATTTTTTTTTCTGATTTCAAAGCTTATGCTCTTTCTTAACCATATGACTCTGTGTGGAGGAGTGGGTGGGAGTGGGTGTATGTGTGTATGTGCAAATATACTTAGGAAGTTGAAGCAAGGGAAGTTTATATGCATCTTTTTTTTTTTTTTAACATTTTATCTATTTTTGAGAGACAGAGTGCAAGCAGGGGAGGGGCAGAGAGAGAGGGGGAGACACAGAATTCGAAGCAGGCTCCAGGCTCCGAGCTGTCAGCACAGAACCCAATCCAGGGCTCAAACCCACCGTGAGATCATGACCTGAGCCAAAGCTGGACACTTAACCGACTGAACCACCCAGGTGGCCCATGTACACACCTTTAATCATGAAGGAAAGTTTAGTAAAGAGGTTAGGTGTGAGAAGAGGCTTGAAGTATAGACAGGCTTTTTTTTTTTTTTTTAATTAAAAAAATATTTTTTAATGTTTACTTATTTTTGAGAGTGAGCAAACGGGAAGGGGCAGAAAGAGGGAGACACAGAATCCAAAGCAGACTCCAGGCTCTGAGCTGTCAGCACAGAACCCACTGCAGGGTCAAACTCATAATCTGCAACAGCCGAAGTCAGATGCTTAACCGACTAAGCCACCCTGGCGCCCCCCTTCCTGTTTTTTTTTTTTTTCAATTTAAATTTTAATTATTGTTTTAAAACAATTATTTTTCTTATAAAAATAGTACATGTTCTTTGCAGAAAAAAAATGGACATAATTTAATAATAAAAAGAAAAAAACCCAACCAGAACTGTGTCACTAAGAGAAATCTCCTTTTAACAACTTGGTGTATATCTTTTAAAACCTAATTTCCTTTTTCTAGATAGGTTGATGGGTAAATAAATGGAGAGAGAGAGAAAGAGAAAGACAGAGAGAGAGAGAGAGAGAGAGAGACACGAATGAGCATGATTATATCAATGTACTGATGTATTCTTATTTGTTTGCTCAGCCAACATTACATTATGGAAGTAGTTCACAGATTTTATGGGTGGACAGGGCAGAGATATTTTCAGCAAAGTAATAGTTTAACAGGATCACGGATTCAGAAAAGATTGTGAGGTATAACAACTACTTGTTGTGCACTTTGGGTTCACGTTTAAGGTGAGGGAGACTTTGGAGCTAGATTTGCAGGACCTGAGAGTATCAGACTGGAGAGTATGGACTTTATTTGGTAGAAAAGGTGAAACCATTTAACCATTTTTGAACATTCCGACACTCTGCTTTAGAAAGGTTAATTTGGGGATCATATACTGGACGGGCAGGAATATGAGATGCGAAGATTAAAGCTTCTTAGAGGACTCTGTTCCAGGAGAGAAGAACTGAGAACTAAAACCTGGAGGTGACAGTAAGAAGACAAAAGAAGAGCCACAGAAAAGGAAGAATTAATGGGGTAGCGGAGTAACCCACCTGTGTGTGTGGTGGGGACGGAAAAAAGCAAAGATGGATGAGGGCTGCCAGTGGTGAGCCGTCAATAGTCATGGGGTCATGGGAGAAAGAGCTCACCCCAGGAGCAAGATGACTACGTGTCAGCTTTGGGAGGTCAGTGAGACATCCAAAGTAGAAGTGTCTATCAGGCAATCACACACATGAATGTGGGGTAAAACGGCACATGTCTTTCAGTTACCCATTAAAAGCTCCTCAAAACCAAGGGTGGGCAATGCATTAAAACTTTAGTTGGATTCTTCCATTTTTGTTGAGCTTCTAAAAAGCCATCTCTTGAACGGTGTCGCCACCATCCGTATAATCTGCTTAATGTAGTGACCATTGGTCCTATTTAACTTAGCTCTGCAATCACACATGATTTTGGACTATAATTTCTAGATCATAATTTCATTCTGAGTTTCCTTTTTTGGAATAAGTTGATTAATTTTGTTCTTTTTGTAAATAGTGAAGTGACTGAATCCCAATTGTATACGTAAATGAGAAGGAACTGACATCTTTTGAACAAAAAAGGAGTATGGGGAATCACTTTGTCTGGTTTGAGAGCCAGATGGTCCACTTTTGGCACTGATCATGTCCACTTCTCACTCTTCCTATTATAACATACCTCAGCTAACTGTTTATGAAAATGACAAGAATCTTATTCCAAGTTACTGAAAAGATTTCATGCTATGAACCCAATGCTCAATGAACCATTGTAAGATTTGAGACTATATTGGTGTCAATCAGGAAGATTGCATTAACTCTTTGAAGGCCTTCAAATTTGAATTAGCAGATGACAAGCCGTAAAATGCATTCATGGTATCTCTGAAACATGATTCTTCTTAAAGGTCTTGTTTTCAGGGCCATTGGCTGTGTGTACTCCACTGAAAGACTGAGCCCCTAAATCTAGAGGCCAGACTTAGACCTTCTGATAATTCTTAAGACCCAACTTTATACCCCAAAAGTTTCTTGATTCTGTCCATCTTCACATTGCTACTGCTCTGAGATTCAATTCAATCCTCTTGACGCTGCTTGACCTAGACTATTGCAATAGCTCAACTGGCCTGTCTGCCTCTAGTCTCATCTCCAATCCATCCTTCTTGCTGTCAGCATGGTCTTTCTAAAACACAGCTCTGAATATGACACTTCCCTACTCAGAAATCTTTCAACATTTTTTACAATAGCTAATATATGGAAGCAACCTAAGTGTCCAGTGATAGACAGACGAATGGATAAGGAAGATGTAGTGTATCTACATAAAGGAATATGACACAGCCAAAAAAAGTCAATGAAATTTTGCCCTTCGTGACAACTGGATGGACCTAGAGTGTATTATGCTAAGTGAGATAAGTCAGACAGAGAAAGGCAAGTACCATATGACTTATTATTGTAATAATTTTGTATGATGACAGATGATAACTACACATATTATGATCATTTTGTAAAGTATATAATTGTTGAATCACTGTTATATACCTGAAACTAATAGAATATTGTATGGCAACTATATTTCAATTAAAAACAAACAAAAAACCCCAAAACTTGTCAACACTTGCATTGTTTATAGAGGAGAATGCAAAGTCCTTAGTATACCAGAACAAAACCTGATACACCCTGTCTTTAGTTACCTTTGCACAACCTCATCTGTAATCACTCTCTTTAACATTGCCCACACTTGTCATACCTCCATGCCTTTGCATGCATGAATTCTGTATTGGTGTCTTCTGCTTGGTGAACTCCTATTCATTCCTCAAAGTCCAGTTTGTATGTCAGTTCTTTGAATCTCTGTTTCTTCTTTCTCTCTTTATCTCTCCATGTTGGCTGAATAAATTCCTCTCTCATTTATATTCACTTCATTCTAATGTACATCATGTTGTGGTATACGGTTAGTTATTACATGTTTTCTTCTCTGGCTAGGATATGAACTCCCCCAAGGGTAGCAACTGTGTTATATTTACCTCTCCACCTTTTCAGGAAACATAAAATAAGGACTGTTTAAGAAAAAGTGTTCTGGGGCACCTGGGTGGCTCAGTTGGTTAAGCGTCCAACTTTGGCTCAGCTCACGATCTCACAGTTTGTGGGTCCAAGCCCTGCGTCAGACTCTGTGCTGACAGCTCAGAGCCTGGAGTCTGCTTCAGATTCTGTGTCTCCCTGTCTCTCTGCCCCTCCCCCACTCATACTATTTCTCTTTCATGAATAAATAAATACAAATATTTTTAAAAATTAAAAAAAATTTTTTTAAAGTGTTCTGAGTCCATCTCAATCTCCAGTTTGGAGTTTGTTATTTATAAGGCAAATTGAACGGAAAAGAGAGGAGTTCTGTTTAACAGCAAGCACACATATTTATAACTCTCGCCCTTCTGTAATAAAAGTGATATTTTATAGAATATTTAGAAAATGGGATGAAGGGAGTCCTGGGTGGCTCAGTCAGTTAAGCATCTGACTCTTGATTTCAGCTCAGTTTCATCTCATGGTTCATGAGTTTGAGCTCGTCAGGCTCCACACTAACAGTACAAAGCCTACTTGGAATTCTCTCTCTCTCCCTCTCTCTCTGTCCCTTCCCTGCTTGCACGCACTTTTCTCTCACTCAAAAAAAAAAAAAAAAAACAAACTATTTTTTTTAATTTTTATTTTTTTTTTATTTTTTAATGTTTATTTCTTTATTTTTGAGAGAGAGAGAGAGAGCAGGGCAGGGGCCGAGAGAGAGGGAGACACAGAATCCGAAGCAGGCTCCAGGCTCCGAGCTGTCAGCACAGAGCCTGATGTGGGTGGGGCTCGAACTCATGAACTGAGATCATGACCAGAGCAGAAGTCAGAGGCTCAACCAACTGAGCCACCCAGGCGCCCCTAAGGAATCAACTTGAAATACATGAAACATTTTTGTATTTTTGCTGAAACACGTGCAGAGTTCAAGGTGAGATCTGTGGCCGTCCTGGAGGTATGTCACATGGCTGTCCAGTCAGCTGACAGCCTCCAGCTGCTGCACCTTTGGGACCCAACACACAAACTTCACGCCAAAGCCACTGTCTCCATGGACTGTTCATCCTCATGGACCCTGTTCAGGCTTCCTCAGAGCAGACGTCGGACTGCAGTTTGAGGGTACTCTCACCCGGTTTTTCCTTCCTTCTGGTCTTCCACAGGGTTGCACCCTTGTTTGTTGCTCAAAAGGCTTTTCCAGCTTATGCCTGCTTCCCTTCCCTTTATTCCTCATGGAAGTCCCCCCTGGTAAATCTCCTGTACTCCTGAATCCATCTTGGCATCTGCCTCCCAGAGGACATAAACCAGCAGACCTACAGGATGAAAGAGGTTACCTAAGCTAAGAAGGAAGACAGAGAAATTCGGGTAGAGTGGGCAGCATGGTGAGTTCAAGGGACTGGGGCAGAGTGAGTGGAGGGGAAGCATGGTGTGGCGTGACCTGGAGGCGGTGGGGGCGGGGGAGGGGGGGTCGGGGCTTTTCCTTGTAACAAAACCCATTAAAGGGGTTTAATCAGAGACGATGAGCAGATTTGCATTTTGAAAAGATTATTCTGGCTCCTTTGTAGCAAAAGCAACAGTTTGGAACAGTCTAAATGAGAGTTAATGGTAGGCCAAACTAAGGTGGCGGCGGGGGGGGCAGGGCGATGAAGAGGTACAGCACATTTGAGAAATATTTATGGAAGACTTGGTCATGAGTCGGAAATACAGAGATGAGGGAGAAGGGGCATATGTGCGTTTTCAGTTTGGGCTGGCATGACTAGTTGGGCGGGAGAGCCATACATTGAACTTGGGAACTCGTGAAGGGAACTGAGTGTAGAGGGAGGAGTGTGTCCACTGGATGTGGACACACTGAGTGTGAGATGCTCGGGCGCTAACGCTCAAGAAGGGAGGCGGGTAGGCATTTGACATGGGGACTGGGACGGGTGAGAGACAAGTGTGCAGGTGGAGGTGATCGCAGCTGAGGCTGTCGATGCAGAGGCCTGTGATCTAGGGGCCAGAGTCGGTCTCCGTGAAGGCCACGGAGCGACTAAGACATCAGTAGTGGCCCCCAGCCCCTCTGCTAGGGGGCTGTGGCGGAGCTGGAGGACGAGTCTCAGAGGAACGGAGGTTTCGTCCTGATACCTCCCTCGTGCCTTTTCAAAGTTCGACAAAGCCTGGACGAGTAGAGGTCTGAACAAGGAGAAACAGCAGGATCTCCTTCCTCCCGACACTGAGGTACCGGAGTGCGGGAAACATGAACACGCATGTGCGCGTGCACACACGCAAAGACTTATTTTAAGAAATTGTTTCAATTGTAGGGGCTTCAAGCCTGAAATTTGTCGGGTAGGGATCTCAGGCAGTAGTTGATACAACAGCCTTGAGGCAGAATTTCTTCTTTGCCCAGGAACCTTAGTTTTGGCTCTTAAGATCTTTCAATGGAGTGAATGAAGCCCACCCGTATTATTAAGGATAATCTCTTTATTTCAAGTCAACCAATTGTAGATGTTCACCACGTCTACCTCGACAGCAACACCTAGATCAGTGTTTAGTTAAGTAACTGGCGCTACAGCTGAGCCAAGTTGACACAGAAAACTGACCACCGCAAAGACTGGAAACCATGGGCAGGGTGGGGTCCTGGGACCTTGAGGTTTCCATGAAGACCAATGGAAGGAAGTAACATCCTGCTCCGCGTGAAGACTCAGGGAGCCTGCTGGTTTTGGACTGGCCTTTCCAGAAGGTCTAGAGGAAGTATTTGTGAACTCAGAGAAAACTGGGCTGAGAATGAAAAGGAGCTGCAAGAGTGGCCTATGGCTGTGAACGAACAAGGCTCCCTCTTCTTCCTTACACCTGCAGGTGAGCCAGAGTCCAGCTTGGCCCTCCTCTGGATGTAGGGGGTCAAGTACGTTGGACATGGCGGGTGCATAAGGCCCAGTTCTGGGCCATCCTCAGCTCCCACTGTCCTGGCCATTTCCATTAGGTTGTGCTCTTATAATTCTGCAATCCTTAGTTCCCAGCACAGATGGCTGTGTTTTAATAGTGGCTTTCTAAACAGTTTAACTATTGCCAACTCTGCTATGATTCAGAAAGGAAATGGCTTTCAGGAGTGTGGAAACCAGTCAGTCTAAGCAGGAACTGCCACCTGTGGGAAAACATAAGTGAAACTTTCCAATATTCTTGGCAATATGAATATGTTTATACTTTGAAAGCACAAACTGGTATAGAAGGAGTAGATACTTGCCCTGTGATTTCTCAAGTACTAAGTGTCACACAGAGCCACGAAGAGGGAATAAAATAGTACTACTATTGTGTGACTTGGTACATGTTTCTTGTCTTTGGACCTCAGTTTTCTTCTCTGTAAACTGGGTGGAAGATAATTCCTGCCTGCCTTATTCCGGATTGTTACGAGGAGCAGGTCAAACGAACCGATACAATTAATTTATTAGGAGGGGTTAAGATGTCTAACTGATGCAAACTGTTGTGTGATTTTTTTAATTATCATTCTCCTTATTTACAGAGAATCTAAATATGCAAGTTGGAATTTTAATGTGGCCTCCACACAAGGGCAAACAGTACAGTCGGGGGCAGTGCTTGGGTCTTTCCGTATTACATTTAATATTAAATAATTAAATATTAAAAATTGCTCATTATTGACTTGCCCGTGTCTGATTACTTAATCAGTGTAATGTTTATTTAGACTTTCTCCCCACAGTCTGAGTCTCACCCGTTGGATTAAAGCCCAGGGTGGCCAGGCTCTTTGACAGAGGGCCACGCAGTGGTTTCTGATTGAGCCTCTGGGCCTCCCCCGCGCAAGCCTGCTCCTGTCTGCTGCAGACAAATTGCACTGCCTCGGGATATTGACCCTTTGCCTGCCGGCTCATTTTCTTCTCCCCTCTGCCAACAGAGGCCGAATTTTGTCTCTCTTTCACTTCCAATTTGGGAGGCAGATTGCAGTATTGGAAATCGGAATGATTTGCCCTCATATACATGCATCCCACCGAACATTCACAGGAATTCAAACTGTGACGTGTTAATACGGTTTACGGTTTCATCAAAGCGCAGTTAGTTGAATTGTTGGCCAGCTTTAACTGGAGTTGCTAGTGCTCACACAACAGCAAAGCCCCGTGGGGCCCTCCCTGCTGGTACCTGGTCACCTGCATTGTCACATTGTGGCTACACAGTGTTATGAATCAGGTGGGCAAAAAGCTAGCATTTTACATCAACCTGAATTTTTTTTCTCATTGCTACTTATTTTATTTTATTTTTTCCTTTATTTATTGATTTTTTTAGCCCTGAATTTTATTTATCCATGGTGAAGTTGTGATTTTTAGGGCAGAGATTATTTTGAATTTTACCCTCCCAGTTTTGCAGGGAAAATTGATTGTGTTAGGTCAAAAATTTTTTGTCTTTGGAAATTAAGCTTTCTGCAAGCCCTAGGTAGATGACTATACTATTTGCAAGTCACTGATATGTTAATTATATTCCATAGCCTTTACTGTGTGTAGTATTCAGGCTATCAGGTTCACATAACTGTTTGCTTTAAAATGTGTATATTTCAAGTCCCGCATTAGAAAGAAGCTGCCTGGGTTTCAGTGGTTCTTAGGGCACCTGCTTCCTTTCTCCCCACATCCCAAGGCTTGCGGCTAGAGGCTAGCATGGTCTCTTCAATATGCAAACCTGCTTCTCTTTGAAAACCCTTCATCACCTTCAGGTTCCTCCAGCCTTCTGGTCCTCCTTGTTGCCCACCCCCTGCTTCATTTTCCACCCTCCCCCACAGGCACTTGTGTTCCAGTCACGCCGAACAATTTGCAATTACAGAGGGATTTATGAGCTATCAGGGGCTATATCTGTGCCCCTGCACTTCCCTGCATCAGAAATGTCTTTCCCTCTGTGTTCTCTTCCTTATGTGTATTTCAAGATGAAACTCACATGTCTCATTACCCACCCGGTCCTGCCCCACCCTTCCTCCGAGCCCCCAAAGATCCTATCTATCACTGCACCCATGGCTGTTGTAATTGTTTATTTATCTAGTTTCTCCCTTTCAGACTGGAAGATTCCTCACACCTGGGACCGGCTTCCATCTCTGAACCACGGCATCTGATACACTTTGTGATCGTTTATAAGCACTCAATAAATATTTCTTGAATAAATTTTTCCTATCTATTTTCTATATTTGTTCTAAAAGAGACATCTTTAGTTAATTTACGCTTAGCCTAGTTTCTTAGTTCATAGGTCTCAGCGCCTTGAAGTGTGGTCCCAGGACAGTAGCATCTGTATCAGCTGGCAGCTTGTTAGAAATGCAGTGTCCCACCCATCCCAGACCTGCGAATCAGAATCTGCATTCTAGTGAGATCTCCAGGTGACTGTGTGCACCTTCAGGTTTGACATGCACTGCCATAGGTAACTGAAGGTAATGCAATCTTGTTTCTTTTAAAATACTTCTAGAATTTAACCATTTTTTCCCTGAAATAATAGTATACTATTCTAAGCAATTTTGTAAAAAGTTTTTAGTAAAACTCTAGTATGCTAAATTTAGGAGTAATTTTTTTATGAAAAATATAAATTATCATTGGCATTTGATACGATTGCAGATATAGGAAATTTCTGTCTGTAAAAAGGACATGAGACCACATGGATGAGTAAAGTATGACTCATAATCTGTTTCCTCGTAGGAGGGGCTTAAGGATGTCCCTTGGTTGGAAAAGGAGGCTAGACAATTTGTCTTGAAATTTTATCTGTATGACAATATACTCTTTAGATTATGTTACCAGGTTTTGCTTAGATCAAATTACCAAGTTAATTTGTCTAATGATACATGTATCCACATATTATATAGGTTCAAGGAAATGTCAGTTGTTCATAAAAGGAATGAGTTAACTTCCTTGCCAATCTTTTTCTGTAAGACCTCACATCCAATCCACCAGCAAATCCTCTAGGCATCACCTCTGGAAGGTACCCAGGACCTGACTGCATCCCACCACTTTTGTCAATACTGCTCTTTCTTTTTTTTTTAAGTGAATTCTACAACCTATGTGGGGCTTGAACACATGAACCCCAAGATATCAAGAGTCACGGGCTCTCCCGACTAAACCAATCAGGCACCCCTTCCCAATACTGTTCTAATCTAAGCCACCTTCATCTCTTACCGTAACTGTTACGAGGGCCTCCTATCCATTTTCCTATTTCCACCTACCACCCAACAGTCTATTCTCCACTCAGTTGTCAGATAATGCGTCCTCTGCCCCAGATCCTCTGAAGGCTGCTAATCTCAATCTGCAGGACATTCAAGTCCTCGTTATGCCCTGCAAGAACCACCCCCCCCCCCATCCTCTCTAACTTCATCTTTTCTTGCTTACTTGTTCCATTTCACTTTTGTGCTCCTGCACATAGGCCCAGTCACCAAGGCTTCTGCCTCAGGGCTTTTGCACATATCCTTTCCACTGCTGAGAAACTTTCCAAATGGCTTTGTGTCTGCTTTCTTTGGGTTTTTTCTCAAATGGTAGAGTCCTTCCCTGACCACATAACCCTTCCATCTTTCCCACCATCACTTTCTATCTCCTTATCCTACTTAGTTTCATCTTGGTACTTTTCGCCATTGCTTACTATAGTACATATTTATCATTTTACCCATTTTCGTTTCTTCCCACTAAAATTCAAACTCTGTAAGGTAGAGGATTTGTTTTGTTCACTGCTACATCCTAGTCACCAGAACAGGCTAGCATAGAGTAATTGCATAGAAAATACTGGTTCTATGATGGAATGAATGACAGCACAAAAAGCAGGCATCAAGGGGTGCCATTGGTAAAGATTATTGGAGAGTGGCTCAAGTCCATTGTCATTACATCTGATGTTACCTACACGTGCTCAACTCTTTCTTTGTAAAATTGAGTGCCAGACTTGCTAATAAACTGCAACATTGTCAGATTAATAGATCTTTCTTTCCTTACCAATGTTGGTATAATACTCAGAAGACAACATGTTAGAAGCAAGAAGAAGAGAGAGCAGAAAGTTCTTAGTCATTATTGTTTATTCTCTATTATGATTATATCCTCTTTGTTTATTCCCTTTTTCCTTTTCTTTTTTAGACTTTGAAGTCTGTGCCACTTTAAACTGATGGAATAATTGTTTCCAATGTGAAGGTTTTTTTTTTTAATTTTTATTTATTTTGAGAGAGAGAGCATGATCAGGGTACAGGCAGAGAGAGAGAACCCTAAGCAGCCTCTGAGCTGTCAGCACAGAGCCCAACACAGGGCTCAGTACCACGAACCATGAGATCATGACACGAGCTGAAATCAAGAGTTGGACGTTTAACTGACTGAGCCACTCAGGTGCCCCAAAGTGAAGGCTTTTTAAGTGACCCAGCTATAACTCCAAGCCCTTAGCCTAAACCAGGGGGCAGCAAAGACTTTCTGAAAAAGACCAGTTGGTAAATATTTCAGGCTTTGCAGGCAACGTGTGGTCCTTGTTGTAACTGTCCAGCCATTGTCGTGTGGAAGCAGACGATATCTAAATGTGTCTGGCTGTGTTGTGACAAAAGTTTACAAAAGCAGGCCTACTGCATATGGCACATGGGCCATGGTTAGCTGACCCCTGGCCTAACCTAAAGTCATATACTTCTAGACTGTAAGTCCTTGAGGGCAGGAATGGTGTCTAACACATGTACTAGGTACAGAAGACTATCTGTTGAATATGGAAATGAATATATAAAGCCTAAGACAAATCCATCGGTAATTTTATATGGATGCTAATCACAGGTAGAGTGCTCGGTGCTTTATCCTTCCACGGTCCAAGGATCTGGGCTTCTGACCGTGAGGAACCTGTAGCAAGGGACACTTTATACCATCACTTCTAAGACATACCTGTTTACAGTTAAGGTTCTTTCAAGTCAGGGTATGTCTTACAGAGATAGCAGAAGCACGTTTCCTTTTTAATGGTAAATAAAATAATAGTGGGTCTCGCAACTTATGTGTGATGAGCTGATATGAAATTTGAAGCCACAAGGTATTTCTCACTTGGATTCTCAGGTCAAAGAGTGGCCAAAGAACATATTCACCCAAGTAAGAATGTAAACTTATGTTGTTTCTGATGTAACACATGCAAGGGCTCATGAAGCTAATAGTACCTGTATTTTAAGTGCAAGGCTATTGTTGGCTTTAACTTTCAAATAATGTGAACATTCATGGTGAATTAATAGACAATAAAAAACCAAGTAGCTTTTCATGTTTGGGATGATAATGGCTTTCAGAATTGTTTTCTAAGTCATATTTTCTTTATCCTGGATAATTAAGAATCTGATGATACTGAAATTATCAGTGATAGTGCAATTTTTGATGGTTAGATTCTTTTTGATGCTTTGAAAGCAGTTATATGAAAAGCAAAGAGGAAGATTTTCATAGAAATCAGAGCATGTATTCCTTTTTCAAGGGGAAAGATAGACCATTAGTACTGCTTTTCAAATTATTTATGTTTTCAAGTATATGTCGGTCATAAGAAAAGCAATTAAATATTTTGTTCAATCCAAGAAACATTTACTGACTATCTATTTTGAGTAGATATTGAGTTAAAAGAAGCTAAAGCGATGAGCAGGCTTAGGTCCCTGGTGGCGAGCTTGGCCACCCAAAACTTCATGGCAGAAGAAACAGGCATTCGGTAGACTTTCCATTCCTTTTTAATGCACTAGAGCCATGTGATGGCACAGTACTCCCGATGTGTGTTTTGTTTATGCTGGGAGATTTGTGACTGAAATTTTGTAAGTCCTGTTTTCTCTCTGAGAGCACAGCAATTCACTACAAAGGAAGTAAGGAGAGAGAACGGAAAGGAAAGATCACTGCCTTTGGGCATCTGGGCCGGGACCTGGATCACAGCTCCCTGAAGCCCCTGACCATGGGTGGATAAGTAGCCAATTTACTTTACTGTGATCAAGGAAGTACATGTCTGAAATTGTCCAGGCAAAGATGTAGAGCAAGATTCAGCAACCTGGAGACCAAGTACTAGCTGGTTTGGGGAGCACAGTAACCTGATTGAAGGGTAGTTGGCAACACAGTGGGGAATGTGAAGATGGGCAGTGAGGAAAAGTGAGAGCCTTCCTTGCTGCCTTCTCTCTCCTGTGACCTTCCATCTCTAGGAGCCTCAGGGTTTCTCTGGATGTACTCAGATATACAAGTGGCAGAGGTGCCCCTCACCACGTTTTGCAAAGCCACTGTCCTTTCCTTCTGCCACATCCACACTCCTAACCAAGAGCTGAAGGAAGCCTTGACCACCTGTGCCACTGAAGTCATAGACTCCTGTGTAGGCATGGATGGGATGACAGGACCTGCTTGCCATCCCCGACCTCTTGAGAAATCCCCAATGGAGAGATCGTAGGGAGACCACGTGTCTTTATTTTGCTTGGAGAGCTCTGAAGCAAACGTACGTGATTAATAACAAGTATTTTACTAACTGAATACAAAAGAAGCAGGCTTTGAGTTTCCCTATTCCCCTGTAATTATAACGAATTGTGTTCAAACACATAAAAATATCTGTAGTCCCAATTTTCCCTGAAGTCCCTTCCTTAAGATTAAAACAGTGCTTACCCACCGTTGTGCTTTGGATCCTTTCTCGTATCTTCACATCTGTTAGGAGGCTTTGTTGCATATCAGATTATATTTGGGAAAGTTTTCCGCACTGCTTCAAAAACAGGAAATTGGCATCTCTGTGGATCATAAATCAAAGTTGGATGGAAACCCCCTTCTTTTGACTTGCCTAGTGCCAGCTAAGCTCTTGCTGCACCTCGTGAAAATAAACGCAGGAAGTTCTGTGGATGCTTCTGTAGAGCCAAAAAAAAAAAAAAAAAAAAATTACATATGTATAAAATCACTTGATTTCAACTCCCAACACATTGATACCTTATTTGGCCATAGTTTTGCACAGAATGAGGTAATACAATGACAGCTTTAACATTAGGAAAAAGAATTACACTTCTTATTGTTACCTGGTGGGTCCTACATGACATGATTTTTCTTTTTTCAGTGTGATAGCCTAATCACACTTCCTTTTCTCTCTCTCTCTCTCTCTCTCTCTCTCTCTCTCCCTCTTTCTCTCTCTTTGTTTCCAAATCCCTCCGTGTTTTGAGCTCATCTGTTTGTCCCTTATAGGCCCTTGTCTTCTCGCT